GCTTCAGGTTTTTGTGGAGAGGACCTTCAGTCGTGTCCTCAGACCGGACGTGTCGGCTCGTGAAAGCATTAAAAAAAAATGTGATTGATGGGCGAATCCAGCATTCCGAAATGCCCTCCCATCCGTGGTTTGACCGCTCGCGTCATACCAAAGAAAAACTGGAATGTTGAGCGAAGTGAAGGAAATCATGGACCCATCGTCGCCCTCTTCATCGATGCAACAGGCCCTAGAACCATCGACGACCCTGAACTTCCTCCGGCAGGGCCCGGGGATGCTACCCGTGGAACCGGGATCCTACATCCAAGAACCCTGTGCAGCATGTCGGAGTGTCCGTCTTCTCACAACCGCCGTTTCCTTCCTGAATCCACCTCTCTCTGCACACCATAAACAAGACTGGACTTCTCTCATCTCGCTCTTAAGTACCTTTCACCAGCCTGTAATAATTATTGCCCAACCTCCCGAAACTATTCGTATTTGAAAAGCTGGCCGTCAGTACCTCGGTACTGTAATTAGTCTGGAATCAACAAGCCTTGAAGGCCTGATTCACCGGAATGACCCTTCTGGTTTATTGTACGATTATTTCTCCCTTTAACAAATCTCACTTTTTCCTGGATCAAGTATATTGACAACCCGATCCTTAAATCGTAACATTTCCAAGGATTAAGACACAGCTATAACTCCTCCATCATGTATAAGCACTGCCAATGACACCTCCATGGAACTCATTGGAATTCTCAGCCCTTAAGAAAGGCTGAAGGTTAAATTGGCCTGGCGTAGGCCTTGGCCTACACGAAAAGGAGAACCAAGTGAGAAAAAGGTTGAAAAGAAACGTCTTGACCATTCCAGCGTAACGAAGAAAAGAGTAATTGTCTCCTTTATCTATCAATTTATTGCCAAGTTATCCGTGTCTGGTTCTTATGCACAGTGAAATGCCATTTTATTTAGCAATGCTTGACATCATTTGTGACGCAATACCAGACTCCAAATCGCATAAGAACAGTACACACCAAACAGTTAGTCAAGTGCAGAAACCTTAATTCATCAGAACTTCAAAAACTGCAGACAAAACTTTCTCTTTACTGCCATAGGTGAAGCAAAATGAGGCAATTCAAATTAAATGATGACGTAACAGAATTTGGACAGCAGTTTCTGCTTCCATATCCCTTTCTCAATTCTGCCTGATTCGATTTAACGTGATGCTGTCATTCTTTCCGGGGAAAACAGTAAAAAATGGTCGCTTTCCTTCATTCCATACGGCATTTCTAACAGTTCAAAACTAAAATAGTGGCGAGAGATTATCAGCTACTAACGTAACGTCTACTACTGTCATGACCAACACCAGTACAAATTTTTATTCAAATGGAGTGGTTAGTAAGAAGTTAAAAGAAATCCCATGTAAATGATAACACTTTGCAAAAAAAAAACTAATTTCTCTTTATGAAACAGTAGCAAATAAATTTAAACGAGCTATTATTTTCGATAATTTTCCATGGGAGAACCAATGCAAAAATATTACCTTCAAGCTGGAAATTACGTAGGATTTACAAAAATCTCTGCCTGGAGAGCTGTTTGCCCTATTTTCGAAATTTGCCCAAATGCCATTCAGTGAAGGAACGTCAGCATTCCAATTTCGCGCGTCCCGTGAGAGTGAAAGGGCAGGCACCATTCATAGGGAGAGCAAGGAACACAAGCATTACACCTACCCAGAATGAGATTTTTTCTAACCTCATTCCAGAATTGGATATAAGATAAGCATATGAGAAGTTTATTTTTCTTTCCACTCTAGGGGCTTGGGGGGAATATATGAAATAATGCCCACAGAAAAAACGCCCGCAAGAAAAAATTACCACGGAAAAAACGTCCATACCTGCCAAGTACGAAAAAATGCCCACTTTAGAATGGTTGCGGATTTGAGCCACCCGTTGTCTCCCGCATGCCTTCGATGCGAAGGTCTATCGTAGGCATTGTCATAGGCTCAGGACTCCGAATACGTGACAGGATTTATACATGACAAGTGAATGGAACTCCTCGGTACGTTCGAAAAGAGATGTCGGTTCGGTCGGGAAGCATGAAAGCATTCAGTTTCTTCTTAAAGATAGTCACAGCGCGGGGCAGCCACTACTTCCTCACTTCTGTTCCCAGGATTAATTTTTTTTTGCATTAGTATTCTGAGGTTTTTTGTTTCTTTGGGTGCCAGAAGGTTGTCCTAATCCCCACTTCATGAGGATTACATCGTGGCTATCAATGCGGCGTCCGGTGAGAGCGAGGGGCATGTATTAAACATTTTCTTTTTAACATTCCTGTCTGATCCAATGGGCCTGTGACGTCTGTCCCTCCCGGTCAGAGCTGTCGAAATACTCAGCTTCGCTCGAGTCATACTAGGAGAGTCTCCTAGTCCAGTGGCTCTCAGCCTCTCTCATCCGGCGACGCACTTCCTATTCCACTTCTCATTGGCATTATACCCAAGGTGTCCACAAGAAACCTTTACAACTTTGATTACTCAGAAACTTTTAATAAGGCAAGATAAAAGGTAGTTTTTTTGTGTGAAAGGTCAACTAATAAAGTTTATGAAAGGAACGTTTCTATATAAAGATAGTAACAATTTTTTTCAGGATTGAAAAAGAATTGATAAAGTTGACAACTCCCCAAGAAAAGGCCCGATGTGTAGCCTGGTTTATAGAAACCAAATCAGACACTCAAGTTCAACGAAATTTTCGTACTAAATACGGCAAGAATCCCCCATCACGTCCATCCATTCGAAAATGGCAACCCCTCATTTATAGAGAATGGAAGTGTCCTTCGGAAGCCAGGCTCAGGCCGTGCAGGCACTAGTCCTGAAAATGTTGAACGTGTACGACTTGCCTTCGAGCGTAGTCCATAAAAATCTATACGAAAATGCGCAAAGGAGTTGCATCTCCCTCGATCAACTGTCTACAAGATCAAAGAAGTGGACTAATGCTGTGACATAAACTCTTTGTGTTGTCCTTTCATATGCAAAAAGTTGTATCTTATGTTTCTTCATTAAGGAATTACAAAATTAAAGGTTTCTTGTGGACACCCTGTAATTTTTAATACCTTCATAATTCCCTAGGGTATCGTGGGGGGTATGCTTGACGCAGTCATTGACCTCTGATTGCTGTGTTAAGTGAGGGGGGAAAAAGGTTTCTTGCGATTGTCCTCGTCAGCCTAAATCTCACAGCACACCTTAGCTTTGCTGACAAGTGTGCTGCAACACACCGATAATGGAAAATACTGTCCTAGTCCCATAAAAAGAAAGTGGAAGAAAGGGCTCCTCCCTCTTAGCCCAATACTAGCCCGAATTAGGCACAGGCAAGGAAGAACAGAAGTGAGGAAACTTTCCCTTCCCCCAAGAAGGGAAAGAAAGCTGGTGAGATGAGGTGGGATTGGGAACCACGTACGCGTAAGATTTTATAATAGATAATTAAAGGATAAGATAAAAATAAAGATAATTAAAGGAATAGATAATGTCGAGCGTGGTAGGTTTTTCCAGTTTGATGACAGCAAGAGACTGAGTATTTCGACAGCTCTGACCGGGAGGGACAGACGTCACAGGCCCATTGGATCAGACAGGAATGTTAAAAAGAAAATGTTTAATACATGCCCCTCGCTCTCACCGGACGCCGCATTGATAGCCAGGATGTAATCCTCATGAAGTGGGGATTAGGACAACCTTCTGGCACCCAAAGAAACAAAAAACCTCAGAACGCTAATGCAAAAAAAATTTAATCCTGGGAACAAAAGAGTATCTCTTGTGTTACATCTTTGAGGGTCACAAGTCAACTCAACGCCTTTGACACGGGAGAATTCAGAGTGGCACAAATAAAATGCCCCTGTATCACATGTAAAATTGAAACTGTTACTGACTTAACAGAGGTACATCATGTCAATAAAAGCATCAATTTGAATTTCAGAGATACAAGAAAGACATATCATCACAGCTTAAGCGATGTGGGCCCGATATGGTTTCCGGAGTGGATTGGGCAGAACTCAATCATTAAACAAGTTGCTGGAGCAACAAAATTTTGTATTACGAAATAAATATTTCTCGTTGCACCCATAATAGATGCAGCTTTGCTCTTAAAAGTTAATCAAAACTTGTTGAATCATGTAATGAGGTATCCATACATAATAGGCAAGTGTGAGGGTCTTTGGAATAAAAGTACCAGTGTAATTCCAATTACTCTGGAACTAACCAGCACTGGGCTAAGAAGATATTCAGAAAAAAATTAAACTCTAACCCACAGCACTGAGTAGGACAAGTAGTTTTTGCCACTGGTGACTTTTACCACTTGCTTTCATGTAGAATGGTTAAAACAAAATGAATAACTCCATGGAGACAATCAACTAAGTGCAGAGGATATTTGGTTGGTACAATTCAGAAATTCAATCAGACCATGACATGAAAAAGAAGTGTATAGGTTTACCCTTGCCATGGGGAGGAATGGGGGATTGTGCCTTCTAAATAATATATTGAAAATTTACCTCACCTAAATGAATATGAGAATATGAAGTTCATCACTTCTTTCAGAAAATTGTCACATACCCCTTCCTATTTGACATTATCCTTTTTTGTAGATAAATGAAACTATATACAGAGCTATAATCAGGGATTGTGCTAAGATTCTTGCCCTGGCCTCCTACCCATGCATCCCAGGGGTCCTGGGACCCCTGGAACACAGACAGAAGGCCTAAGACTGCTGGAATGAATATCATACTGCTTGGTTATGTTAAGTTGGCAAATACACATGCATTGCTGGATTTTTACTTTTGGGGAACCCTTCATATTTCTCTTGTGCTTCACTTGGAAAGTAACCCCCTTAATTATCAAGGGATCCTTCCATATCAGACCTGAGGGTCCTGGGTACCCTACAGCAAGAAACCTAGCACAACTCCTGTATAATGAAAGAAACCAGTATTCTTTAAAAGGAAAAATGTAGCTCAGTTTCCATTCCTAGAAGGTGTCAAGTAAAATGATCAAATTGGTGACGAAAACAAAAGGTTTCATTATGAAAATCCCAGCATCAGCTCCATCACAAGATATCCATCCCTATTTCACAATATTTCTGAGTGATTTTTTTAACATGCACGAGTTTTCTCACAAGTAAAAGCAAAAACAATTTATTGTTGGGTTCATGGCATCTCACTCAAATAAGTGACAAATAACAAAACAATATCACAAAATGGACTACACTAAGAGCACCATGCTCAAGCAAGGCAGTATTCCTTCCCACAATGGCTTTCCCCACTTTCTCATGACCCATGAAACAGCATTCTGGGGAAGTTGTGATAAGCATTTTCAGGTTTATGACTTCACAACTTCTTCCACATCAAGAGATTTATGAGTTCCATCACAGAAAGGAGGATGTTGTGTTTGCTTGCAGTTGCAGAACCAAATGTCTCTACTCTTGGGAGCCTTGTACAAAACTGGTTGAACTTTCACTTTCAAGTGAGGGAAGTGGTGGGATTTATCACAGAATGGCTAAAAAAGAAAGGCATGAAATGGCATCAGTCAAGTGTAACTCACAATGCTGGTTCATAATCACATGCCTACCTGAGATTTGCTATGCCCACAGGCACACCAGATGTAGATCTTGCCCTCTTGAACAGGAAACTTGAATGGCTTCTTGTCATATATCTGTCCCTTATGGGGTTGAGTTGGTGCTACATGATATTCTGCCAAGAGATTCTCAAATAAATCTCGTTTCACCTCCTCCCTAGATGGGATCTTTCCTTCTTTATTTTCATGAGTTTCACTCTTCCAACGAAGCTGCTGTAAGTACAAAAATCAGCACTGATATTATATAACTTCTATTCCTAAACTGCAAGTTGCTTATTTCATTCATCACCATTCCAAAAAATAACAGCACGATGGTGAGGCAGTGGACTAAAAATCCCCATACATCTTTCCTTGATCACCCTCTCAAAATTCCTAAATGTATCATGTATTACATCCTAAATCAAGGGGAACTAAGAAATCTTCCAACCATAAGGAATTCATCAAGATTGGTGCACGAAATTTCGGGCAATGGACAAGGAAAGAGAGGGCAATGTCCACCTAAGCTCAGGGAGAGCACTCAGTTTTTTCTTGGAATGGTATAAGAGCACTCACAGGCATAAACCATAGTGTAAGGCCAAAAGGTGAAATTATATGTCTCTGTTTTTGTATTATACAGGTGTCCCATAAGTCACGATACCATTTCAAACTGCAATATTTTCCAAATTGGAACAAGGTCACTGTTGTTAGCATGGATGGAGAGAACATTCTTCAGAATTTTTCCATGATTATGACTAGAAATCAGACTCAACTGGAAATAGCTTCAAATGAATAATAGAAAGGTGCAATTGTTTAGGGCAATTTATAGTACACCTTGTTGAATCCACTTCTGCAAAATTTCTAACCTTTACGTTTTTCTCTTCTAATTTCAGATAGACTTGAGAAACAGAAATAAATATCATTCAATTTAATATGCTTTCACTGTCATGAGAAAAGGCTTCCCAATTGACACTGGAGCAACAAAGAAAAGTTGTCACCTGGATAAAGGTCTATGAGAGACCTATTAGAGTTTAAAGGTAGTTTCAGAGTTTTCTTCAGCTGAGCCTCATGTCAAATGTATTGATATAGGAAGAGGGCATTTTGAGGTACTGTCAAAACTCAGAATTATCTCCATTTTTGACAAAGATAATTCTGAAAGACTTGCCATTGTTCAGTTAATGTTACTTCTTTGCATCAACTGTTTCGTAGTAGTGGTTTTTAGAAATGGCATAATGACTTATGGGACACCATGTAAATGCAGCATAATGTAGACACAATTCAAAATAAAATAAAAGTGGCCCTCAAAGTGTGTTTCATAACAAATCACAAAATGAAATTATTTATTAAATATCTAGGGGCAAATATGAATTTTGAAGGATTTTGAAGTGCACATTGGCAATTGTGAGATCATGACAATATATTTTCTTGAATGAAGGAAAAAATCAACATCACATCACAAGGATTTCTATCAATTATTCTAGGAAACTGCAGAAATAACAGGCTTTCATTATCATTTGCCTTTATCCTCAAGAACTTCATTTTGAATGGAATAAAGTTGACCTGACTTCCTTGGGGTCAGTGACGAAAGAAAAAGAAAAAAAAAAAAAAAAAAGAAAAGTTCTTCTACCACTGAAATACAAATTCTGCTTGGTATTTCTCCAGAGCAAGGGTATATTGATTCACTGATAGGCCTAAATTCACAGGTTGCACCATGATCACTGAAATAAAAGAGTCAGGTCTCCATTCCCCAATAATAATAAAAAATTGAAATTCATCACTTCAAACAGGCATACTGATTATGGTCTGCATGAATAAAACCAACAGCACTCGCACTGTTTTTTCACACCCTCCTTCTACATTGGCTTTGTTAAACTTTGATTTCTTAGATGTTTCATTATCCACCATGCCAGACCCATCCCCTTTTCCATCTCTTTGAGGGAATTTTTAAATAAACTTTATTAAAAGTTTATCCTTACATAGCATTTTGCATGCACAAAAACTATCCACATTAAAAACACAGAGTAAATACAAAAAATTCATGTAAAAAGGAAGCAGAGGATGAGAACTTTGAGTGTAGTTTCCAAGACACAGGGATCTCTAAAGAATTTAATGACAGGATTTACAAGGCCCACATTGTAACTAATGAAGACTCATGAAAATGTTCTTCCTGTATTCTTTTGCATGCACTCAAGACATGTCATAATACAGAGGAAAGTGACTCAGTTTTTGAGAAGTACTTAAAAAGAAGGCAAAGGACCAAGTTCTGGTTTTTCCAGATTGTGATCCATATTTAAATATAATGGACTATTTTCAACTACTTTTAGAATTTTGTTTCACAGTTACCCCAATTACCCCTATTATTTTTTAAATTGGCCTTTGTGGAAAGCATTATCCCTATAGATCACAATGTCTTTCACTGCAATGCTACTGGAAACAAATGAGCTAAGATTAAAGGGCCAGGATTGATATGAAAAAATTAGAAATGATTTCTCTCCCACCTCCCTCAATAATGAATGAGATGCTTTTCATTCCTGAACACACTCTGAGCAACCTAAGGTATGCGCATGGAGTCACTCAATGCACAATTTATGTATAAAAAGAGGCAAATAAACCTAAAATATAATGACACCCCTAAAGTAAAGCCTTTTGCAAAACAGTATCCACATGCCTCTGCATGGAAAGAATGGCTCAATAAAAGCATATAATACATGATAGAGGGGGGTCACACTAGAGTGGCTAAGGTATTCCTTTGTCTTGTGCACACCTTGTTTTGTCCCATGCTCACCAATCGTGCACACTGCTCGAGGTGATGTTAGTCAGTTGTGGGTGTCGTATGTGTGCATACTACAACCTACGACCATCACTTTAAGAAGTGAGTGCTGTTCTCCCAGACTCCCACGGGAAAGTCTAAGTTTTCCCCTAAGGGAAAACTTTGGCAAAAACTTAGAGACAATATAGTAACCACAAAGAATCCTAGATGTTGGTGGCTTTCTGTTAGCCCTTCAGGGCAACATTACTTCTTAATGCTAACATAAGGGAAGATTGCAACTGCAGCTTTTTCTGCATCTTACAGAAATAAAGCCTTAGTAGTGGTCCACTACTCCCCTGTTTGCCCTATACACAAACTGGTAAACTCCTTCCAGCCTGGGGACAGGTTCCCTTGTGGGAACAGATTTTCCTTAGTTGCAAGAGTTCAACAGCTACCAATGGAGTCAAATGTTTTGTGCGGGTGAAAATGTGAGTGACTAATTCTCAAATAATTATTGACTGATGCATTCTTTGCTGGCTCTACCAGGACAGTACACACTCAGTGAATGTTACAAGATGCCGAGGTAGATTTCTTCCTCATCTCTCTGAAGTCCACCCCTTGATGAATAAACAAGTTTGACAAACTTTATCATAAATATAGGTAGGATTTTATATGCTTCAAGCACTAACCACTAAATCTGGAAATCTGAACACCAATGGGATATTTTACAGGGGGCAGGGAGAGGCGGCCCGCCCCCCTGGCAGTAATAATTTTCTCTCCTGGTATCGCTCGGGTCGGGTTTGACGCCCTCATTATGCTACCCTGCCCCCCCTCTTGACTCTTCAGCCAAAATATGCCACTGCTGGGCAAAGCAGTAAAACTCAGGAACTCATATATTTAGCGGATTAATGCAAATCTGGAAGGCTTATATGACTTACCTGGGACACACATGGTACCGAATACCGGAAAAGGGACGAAACTTCAAACTTAGAAGGCAGGTAGAGCGTACAACGATGAGAGGCCCGGGCACTTGAGAGAAGGATAGGGGCTGCCATCTTTGTTTTCCTCTTCCTCAGTGAGTCATGAAAATGGCCGCGTTGCCTCATCTTTCCTCATCCTGTTCGCATGATAGCCCCATCCCTAATCCGCATCAGTCCTCACTTGTGTCGACTAACTTTGCGCATTTGCAGCCTATGCCAGCCTAGTGATAATTCTGGCCAGATAAACATTAATATATGTAGGCTTACTGGAGAAGTTGAAGGTGAGGCTTTGTAGGGGACAGTTGCCCGAAAAGGAAACCTCTCAATTTTGGCCCCTGTGTCCCGTTGATGGCTTTAAAATGGTTACACTTAACGCTTTCCCCTGTAGGCCAACTGACTGCCCGTTTGTAAGAATGGAGGAATGAATTTTCCTTCTGAAAGGGATACGATCGCGGAGTGCGAACGAGCTCATAGTTAAACGCGTAGAAAAAAAAAATCCAATAGCCTACATACTTTGTGTGCCCTAGTCAGTGCCCATGCATCATTGCGATGTTAGGTATAGGGTATGCTGTGAGCCTTATTTCTAGCTTGGGTGCTCATGGTAAACATGGACCTAGTTGGACAACTAATTGAGTCCCAGAGTATATCAAAATAGTCTCCTTTAACCTGGTGTTGGCTAGTAAAACGTATTTTAAGAAGACAGATGTCAAGATTTTGAAGAATTCACATATTAAAAAGCATGCTGATGATAAGATCTTCGAACTTAGCACTCCTTTTGTGAACTCTTTCTCTCTTAGAAGGGCAGTGACTGGTTTGCCTTGAGGTAGACAAGTTGTATGATGGCCTTGGTTGTAAGCTATCCATAATTGGCCTCTTATGACGCATAAGTTACCATGTCTGATTGCAATTATATAGGCTTTCTTTAGAATGCGCAAAAATTAAATCCATGCATCCAAATGAATATCATGTACTTCTCTTGGTATATTACAGGGTAATGGCCCTGGTATGGGTGAGCTGTGATAGAATGGAACTGACTAGTGTTTTCAGTTGTACAAATCAGTGAGCACCACAGCAGCCATTAATAATGATCACGAAAGTGGCATTTGTCATCGTAGCGTTTGCTATAGCATTTCCTGAGGTCACTTCCCCAGCTCAGAATGTGACCCAGAAATGGGACTGGACTTCTAAAAGCAAGGAAAGAGGAAAGCAGAACCTTGGAGAATCCATCTTCATTGATGAAGAAGATGAAGGCTCTGGTGATTTCCATGATCAAGGAAGAAGTGGAGGAGGGGGACATGTGAACCAAGAAGGGTCTGGACTAGGACTTGATGATGATGAAGATTCAGAGTCAGAAGGATCTGGAGTGGGGTCATTTGAGCCCCCAGAACATGAGGAAACCAAAGGGCAACATCCCTGGGGAAAACCAACTCCCTGGGACACACCCACTGATGGACATGAGATCCACTTTGAATATGAGCCTGAGTCACCAGTGGAAAAGAAGAAGGAAGATGATGCAAACAATCTCATCCCAGATGTTCAACCACCAAAAGAGACTCCACAGAATCCCCCTCATGATAACAATCAGCTGGGGAATGATGTCCATATCATGGGAAGAGGAGAGCGTCAAGTCTCATTCTTTGCTCAGCCTGGAATCCTGGCAGCTATCATTGGAGGGGCAGTGGTAGGACTCCTGTGCACAACACTGTTGGTCATGTTCATTGTGTATCGCATGCGGAAGATGGATGAGGGCAGCTATCCTCTTGATGAGCCTCGCAAGTCTCCACCAACCATCAAACCCTCCCCAGAGTTCTATGCTTGAACACCACTGCACTGCTTCCTCTCCTTTCTGTAAGGCATTTCTTCTCTCCATCATCTTTTGTTTGTTCATTCAGTGAAAAGATATTGTGCCATTCAGTTGTGTTCGTAGATTGCCTATGTAGGTCTATGCTTGTTTTTGTTTTTTCCCTCATTGAAAGAGAAGAGTGCCTGACAGACTTGAAGACACATGAAGACATGCTTTTTAAATTTACTGTAAGGAATTAGAACTATCACCTCTGCACAGTTTCATGTCTCCATCTTGCTTCCTTCCAAATGGGTTGTTGATAGCCCACTCTTGCCAGGTCATCCATTACAAGAGGTTTGCTGCTTGTGTAATGTTGTTGTAATGGGTACACTTAAAGTGCTCAGTCCAGTTAGCAAATTTTCATATAATAGACTGAAAGTAAATTATAGTTTTATTATGAGTAATGTTTCTGCAAAATTGGAATAAGTTTCTCTAAACTTAAGATCTAATAAGTTCAAAGGTGAGTGATGACTATGAGAAGAGAGTAGCCCCATATGGAAAGTTTCTCATTCTCTTATGTTTGTAAGGGAGCTATAGTCACCAGTTTAAACAGCCCTACAGTATTTGTATTCAGGAGAAATGACTTTTCATATTACTTTTGACCAGTTGCATAAAGTTCCAATACATTTTTAAAATATGAAGTGCCCTTCTGTAGATTCTTGAACCCATTGACAAAATCTAAAGTTAACTACCTTATCCAGGATAAAGGCATTGTTTCCTGAATGACTCCATGGAGTTCTGATATACTATGTTTGTATCATAATCCAGAGTCCATTTTGCCTTGCTTTCATGATATCTGATTATATTCATCAACCATTGAGGATCTCTCATGTCATTCTTTGTGTGACCCTTACATTGTAAAAGTCGTAGACCAGAGTTTAGGTGCATTCCTGAGTTTTATGGCATTCATTCAAGAGACAATGCCACTATTTCATTTGGAAATCCACACATCTTGTACTGGTACTGAGAACTGTACACACGGCCCTCTGGAGCCATCATTTTCATTCCTTCTGTTGGAACCTTATTCTGTTCTAGCCTACTTTTCTGGACATAAGTAATGTTCAGTATACAAGTGATGTATGTTTTTTTTTTTTTTTTTTTACTTGGACAGCAATGAATATCACATCAGCTTTATTTGAAGTGGTTTCATTTCTCCTTCTGTTTTAATAATGCTGCAGCTGGATATTTCTGACAATCCCAAAGCCTGAAAGTCGGGCTGTACCGATGCATCGACAACTACAGATTAGACATCAGCCGGTTTTCACACCGCCCATCCCAACGCCCCCCCCCCTCCCTCTCTCTCTCCCTCCCTCCGCTTCATAAAAAAGGGAGAAAAGGCGTGTGCATGTGTATGCGGCCTGACACCAGATTTCCTCATCACTTTTCCAAGAAAAGGAACGGCTGCTTCTGGCCTCTTACGGGAAAAAAAAAAATTAAGAAATAGTACATGGCATGATTAATTTCTTTCTGTATCGATTTCATCATCCCTCATGAGTCCAATGATGGAATCGACATGCAGCCGGACTTCTGTCCCGTTTCAAGTGAGCGCAGGTTTATCCCGATTCTGGTCTCTTCCCGGCAAGTAAAATGTATACACTACATAAACCGACGGAGAAATCTCTCCCTGCCACTGACACCTGCGTCGAATCGAATGCTGGCATAGGGATTCCCCTCTCTTCCAAGAATGCGTAGGTCTGGGATTTGCATATTCTGGCGGAGATATTACGTTTCTTGTGCCCCTTCGGCAATAAATCGATGTTGAATACACGCGTGTGATTCAGCCGTTCCCTGCCGCAGGACTGCGTCAAGTAATAGCATTGGGCATCCTGCCACACTTCCGTTTCATTTCCGTGAAGCTCATGCATGTTTTAAGGCCTCCCCCTGCGCAAAAACCAGTACGGAGATGCAGTGCCATAAATCTCTTACAAGCTGGCGTAAGAAAAAAAAGGGTTGATACAGTTGATTTGTAGTACCTAAACAACACATACATCTAAATGAAGTCACGTTGCATGGACGTCACGTGTTGCTTGAGTAGTTATTAGGTCTCTATTTTTCTTAACCGTCTGATTCATCTTGAGAAACATCGCATAGGTGAATCATGCTGTTGGTACAACACGCTTAAAGGAATAAACTTTTCTCAAAACTGCATTACAATTTTCAAATGGTTTTGAAAACTTCCCTATTTAATTTCCGCGAAAATGCCGAAGGAAGTACTGCGCGGCAGTGACGATTAATAATTGAACACTCCGGCTAATGGAATAGTTTCCCTGATCCACTGAGCTCACTAGTCCCCGGAATATTCCAATGAGAGCGGAGTCGGCTGCAACAAAGAGCAGAATATTGAATAATTTGTTGGCTTTCTTCCCCCCTCCATTAGCCACGATTGCAACCAGCCGATGTGTGTGATATATTATTTGGCCATCGGTACAGCCCTACTTGAAAGTTCCTTAACTTGCCTGTCCTCCGTATGAGTTATATTTCATGTAATTGAAAGAGGATATTGTTTGTGGGCAGAAAAGAGGCCATTATCGAAATGTGGCTAGTCAGTCCTGGACAAAGGGACTAACTGGGTAGTCCGTGTTCGCCACAAATTGCAACATATCATACAAGTCCCTGCGAGCATGATTTGTAGGGTGAACCATGGATAGGACCTGGGAAGAGGTGAAGCATGGATGGAGTGCTGAGCCTGTTTTACGTGTGCTTCTTTCCTGCAGGTATACTCCACTGGTGAAAATGCCTCTTGTGATCATATGCGGGTTCCCGTGTTCCGGAAAAACCTCTGTAGCAAATGCTCTTTCCAAGTACTTCCTCCAACAATCGAGGGACGTGGTGGTGATTTCAGAGAATGATCACGTGTCGTGCCGCAATAAGGTCTATGCCGACTCTCAGGATGAGAAACGAATACGAGGGATCCTCAAATCCCAGGTCCAGCAGTTTCTGAACAAAGACAAAGTTGTTATATTGGATGCCATGAACTACATTAAAGGTTATCGTTATGAACTGTACTGTGTGAGCAAAGGGTGCCATACGACACAGTGCACGGTGCTCTGTGATGTGGCAAGAGATGTGGCCCTTGCGTGGAATGATGCTCACAGACATTACAACACGGACGTCATGCAGGCTTTGATGGACCGCTTTGAGGAACCTGACTCGCGCAAGCGTTGGGACAATCCACTGTTTCACGTGAGGAGCTTGGATGACTTAGATGTGGGAGCCATCTGTGAAGCCCTGTTTGAAAGGAAACCTCCACCGCCCAATCAGTCAACTCAGAGTCAGCCGCTAAGCTCGGCTTCATTCCTCCACGACCTGGACCGCATCACGCAGGACATTGTCAATCACTTGATGTCTGCACAAAAGTTGGGTGAAGAGGGAGAGATTCGAGTGCCATCTGTTGAGTATCCGGTCAATCTACCTTCGCGTTTCCCCGTGGCAAAGCTGGCTCAGTTGAGGAGACAATTCATTTCATTCATGAAAGCCAGGCCCCAGCCCCAGCGTGCCATTCCCGCCTTATTCGTTCAGTATCTTAACTCCCATCTCATGTGACCATCAGCCCTCCCTCTTTGTTTCTGTGTTCTAGATGGATCTATGAATTAGTTGAGACAGGTTTGAAATGATTGATATAAAATGTTTGATTGTTTGGCATGACTGCTCCTTGTAAATAAACCCTCTTGATGTCAAAATGTTATGCATTTATCAAATATATCCTTTTAATGGAATATATTTCCCTCCTGAAAGTCTTCGGTTTTAAATGAGGAGATTGAAGGGTGGGTGATAAACTTTCCCTAGCCACCAAATGAAAGAATTACCCTATTTTGATTAGTGTAATTTTAAAGTTTTAGACCCAGCAGGCTATGCTGGGTCTACGCAGTTGCATAAATGTCGAGAGCAACCTCATTTGTCCTGGATGGATTCCAATTTGAGGTTGCAATCGCAACACAACACATGTACCCTTGCATCATGGATCAAGTCACGGTATTCTGGCTCTGTATTGCCCTTTTTTATCTTTCCCCCACCCTTGGAGCCACATCGTATGAAATCCTAAAAGCGATTCCTTGAATATGCCCCATACCCTTTATGAACACGGTTGTTTTTTTTTTTTTACACTGCACCCAAGCGAAAGTGGGAAGCAAGGTTTCGCCCTTTTGGATGAATGGATGCGTTACTTAGTCGTATGGCGTGGCCGGTTTTTAGTACGAAAAGGCACTTGAGTGCCGGCGAAATCCCCTACTGCCAGGAAAAAAGAGTGTTTGCCCCTTTGGGAAGGTTCGTAATGGTCGATACAAAATCAATTAGCCATAGACAAGGACTCATGCGACATGAATTTCGCAAAGTTTCAGTTTATTCTAATCGACATTTCTGTATAGAGCACAGAGTAATCTTTGAAATATGGAGCCAGGCAACCGGAAATGTCCCAGCACAAAGTAGCTGATGCCGCGGCGTCAACACGTGGGATGGCGATGTGAAAGTTTGAACTAATTAAGTACGTCTAAGCTTAGCTCACCCTCGATTCAGCTCAGTTTGCATTTCACTCGTGATTGGCGAAAGGAATTCGCTTTAGGTTACTCGGGCTTGAACCGTTGTACGCCCACGCTCCAGTCTCGCTCTTTCGCTCATTGGTCCTCACGGCTCGCGTTAGCATGGGACAGAATCTTGTCCCGGCCAGAGCCACCTAAGCCCAGCCCCACTCGAGTAGAAATAGCGGGATGCTGTGTTGCGAAATAGGTTAAGTACTTGGCAGCAGCAGGGAAGTCGGGAGCATTCTCCCCCTTCCTTCGGATTGTACGAAGGATTTCTCGCATCATTACTCGTCACGGGCAAACTGGCGTCGAAATTCTCGGTACGCTAGGAAGATTTTACTATAATAATAAAAAATGGTTACGAAAGTTCTGAGTGGAACTTGACCTCCGCTCCCTCTTGACCGTTGAGAAGTGGATAAGAGGCCATCCACAATTCCTCTCTTGTCGTCCTCACTTCTTTGACAGCGAAGAGGAGAATGGGGACAGAATGGAAAGAGAACTGCCGAGAGAGAGAGAAAACTGGCAACTGCGCCAATTCCTGTTCAAAAACCTCACGGCCTCATTGTGACCACTCAGAGTAGGACAGTCGCGAAGATGCACGTCCTAAAATAAAGATAAAAACGTGTTGGGTGAAAGAGTTAAGCATTATGGTAGGTGTAATACTTTCACTGGGAAAATAAGAGTTTCGTTTAGAAGTATTCATCGATTGAACGATGCGAAACGCAGAGCTATGTTTCCTTTAGGTCTCGTGATATAAACATGGCGTGATGCCACTACTCATCAAAAAAAAAGTGTGGGTGGAAACAGAAATCCAGTTTAATAGCACATTCTTTCGCCAGTGTGAAGAGGGGCTTCACTTCCTCGATGGCATCCAGAATGGCGATGACCATACTTCATCTCTCGATGAGAGACTTTTTCTTTAATAGCTGGCGGCATTGTAGTACAATAGTAGAGGCAGTAGGGAGCCGCTTAATTCCAAGCAGAGAGTTCCAGACATCCGGGTCGGCTTCTCTTCTGCCGAGACGGAGATGGAAAGGGCATCACGTGGGAGGCTGTAAAAACTTTTGTGCGGGCAGCTCGTAACACGTGGCTAGCGATCGCCAGTGAAAGGAGTGGGGTGGGTGACCGCCGGTCGCACCCTAGCCTTCAGGATACGACGTTTCTTTCTGCCCCCCCGTCCCGACTCTAAAAGTCGGAATGCGTGAAGTCTGAATGTTCGCATGCTTCTTATGCGTTAGTCGTGTTCATCTTGGGCCTTCACGTAGCCCATGCCTCCTGCTACTGTCGTTCTCGTGTCATTAAGTTGGGTGGTCCTTTACAAAGGGTGTCCATAAAACCTTTGACGCATGAAGAATGTAGTTTACCTAACTTCCGAATGAACAACGATATAGTCATGCTGCAGAGCACACAATGATGTGCGTATTCATCCATCGTCTATACCAGGGCTGGCCAAAGTGGAAAGGCTTTTCGCGTGAGCAGGTATTTGCGGCTTGAAGCATAGATGGCGCTAGCTATGATGAATACTGTTCTAAAGCGGTAGATTATAGGTGCTGGCCCCTCCCTGGATACTTGATAATACCCAACTCTCTTAACTAACGCCATCTGTCTTCTGCGTTAGTAATCACGATGCCGCACAGCCTTGGGCCCATCACATGAGAAAAGGAATTAGTTAAAATTACAAGTAATCCCTCAAAGAATTAGTTACGAGTACATGTTACTTTTCGGTTCAATTTTTTTCCCAAACCCCGTTTACACGGAACCGATTTTTCTCCAAGAGTATCCTGACGAAGGACATCGACATTTCCACTCTTGCTTTGGGTTACATCTCGAAGCGGGTTTACACGTGCGAGTGTAAACCCGCCTCGAGAACCTGCCACGTGAAAGATGTTCGCGTGAGGGATCCTTTCCACAAACGACTGTTGTCGGTTGGAGAACTTTCAAGGAGTTCTCAATTTTCACTTGGAGGTGAAAATTGTTCCCTCATACACTGACTAGCCCAGGGGTCGGGAACCTTTTTGGCCGTGTGAGCCATATTGAGATTGAACTAAGTGCTCGTGAGCCGAAGATTTTCAAAACAGAATTTTTCCTGAAGCTGGCAAAAGACACGTGCATTCTTTGATGCATGAGGAAAATGACGAACAACCATGACTTTTAGCCATGATTCATGAACCAAACTTTTCGGCTCGGGAGCCAAATCTGACTCATGAGCCATAGGTTCCCGTTCCTCGCCTCTGCTAAACATAAATCTAAGTCTAAATCTTAGGATTAATCTTAGTCTAAACGGTCAGGGCGGAGAATATACTTTTTGCTTTTAGATTGCTTTTAGATTTAGATGTAAGTTTAGCAGAGGCGAGGAACAGGCCCCTGGACGGGCTGGCCGATGGGGTGCATTGATTTAAAGAGCATTTTCAGCTCTGAAAATTATTTCAATGATGCGATGCATGAATGTAGTGATACAGCGCTGGTCTGTAATCGAGAAAGTAACGCATAACAGTCATGCTAGTGACTTCTTCCTTGTACAAAGGAACAAGAGAACGGTTCCATTACTAGTCCCTACAAAGTGATTCGTCACCCTGAAATTACTGTAAAATGTAATTAGTTACTGAAACGCGTTATTTTAGCTTCGTTATCGCTAAACATTGATGGAAAGCAAAAAGAAACCCAAAAAACTGGAAGGTGTTGATATGACGATGTGCTTCACCGGATGGCTCCGTCGTTGCCCGTTCGGAAGTTATGTACACCCGTGATGCGCGAAAGGTTTTATGAGAACTGTCTCGTATAAACGAAGACAATCCGGACCTGGCTCGCATGCGAATGTGGGTCGTCTTCCCATTTTTCAACTGTCACGGAATGGGACACACTCGTCTTGTTTACATGCGAGTGAAAGCCAACGATTCCCACTGACAGACACGCAAGCTTAGACCATCGGGATCGCCATCCACGTGGGGAATCGCATTCGATGTGCAAGAGACTCGCGTAGAGCAACACGAAAACGTGGGAACCGAAACTCGGACCCCCTTTCCCCTCCCCTTTCTTAATTAGGTTGCGATGAAAGCGGTGGAAGACCGGGAGTGAATATGTTTTTGCGCAAGTAAAAAGCAAACTCTTTTAATTACATTCCCATCTTGAAAGGGGTTGCAAATGCTCATCATATATTGTGTATAAAATCTGCGAGATTTATGCCTTACTGAGGACGGAAATCTAGGCCATGATGGGATCTCGTTGCGGTCGTGAGCTCCAGCATCTGCTCTCGATTTATTCATCCAGACTTATTCGTTCACTTTGATCAAGTTCCGACAAACCGGGAATACTGGGAATACAACCGGGAAAACAGTACGAGGTACTTCTGACTTTTTCGAGTTGTATCGGATATCTTAATATCCAGGTTTTTCTTAATTGTCCAAATCCCGTTTTAAAAAAAAGCTGGATATTCCAGAGAACCAGGTTCAGAGGGACCAAGAAGTCTTATGAAATATGATAAGACACACTCCAGCTCATGGAATATCGTGCGGATTAGATAAGCCTAGAGAGGAGGCAATTTCCGCCCCAAAGATTTAGTACACTGTAAATTGCATTCACGCTCATTCGTCTATTCTAATGCTCACGCGTTTGCCCCTCCCCCCCCCTTCGTCTCCCTTCCATCCTCCTTCATCCAGCGGCGTAGCGTCGGCCCCCCCCCCCTCACTTTTCAAGAAAATAAGCCCAAAAAAATAAGGCAAAGACCCAGAAATGCATAACAGTATCCCAGAGTTCCCGTGCCCCCACACTTTTTCCATCCACGCTACGCTCATGCCTCTATCCCCCCTTCAAGATTCGCATCCTACCTGACCCTGCCTCTGTTCCCCACGGGACATTCAGCGGCGCTTTCGCGATGCGAAACAGACGGATACGGAATCTCTCTACGTCGGTAGTCTTTAAGACGAGTGCTGAAAAACCTCCCCTAGAGTGCGTCCGTGATACTGTACTTGCTATCGGCAGCTCGAGATAAAGTTTGTTTTCCTCATAAAAAATAGACCGACGACGACT